ACACTTGTAGAAATGTGATTCAAATATTTGAAAACATTGGGGCCGAAAGCTCCAAAAGCAGACAAAATAGGTAAGGACATGGATGGTGAATAGCAAGCACACGAGAACAAAAAATGGCGGGTTTACATTTTCAGAAGCCCACAAGTCATGAGAAAACACCAAAGCCATTCCATCCATTCAAGTCTCTCTCTTCTCTTAGCTAGAGGAAGACAAGAATATCCTCTCAATGGTTACACCAAATTCTCCGAGTGGGAAAACTTGAAACCTTCGTATGTACAAAAATATATAGGACGTGTTTGAAACTCGTTTCAAAATAATTTTTTTTTTTTGTATGAAAATGAAAATGAAAACGTAAATGTTTTCAATCTCAGATAGAAATTATTTTTAAAAAACACTAAAAATTATTTTTTATTTCTCTCTTATTTTACACTAAATTAAAAAATAATTTTTATTTTTATTTTTTATCTTTATTGTACTAAATACTATTTTAAAAACATTTTTATTTTTTTTTTAAAAATAAAAACGAATTCAATTCTAAACACGGTCACCAGTACACAAGAGAAGCTTTTGATCGACCAATGTGAAAGTTGAATTAATTCAGTGATTGGAGTCGTTTTTGTTGAAAATTTGTGGCATCCACTTATGACAGAGGTCAAATTGCAAATACACGCACAAACAAAAAAAAAAAATCGCCCTTTAAAAGTAATTGTCTTTTTAGCCACATTTCAAGGATAATTATTTGGAATTAACGTGGTTTAAAAATTTGTTTGGACCACCCAATCCATATCCAAGTGTTGAAATTTGAACCGCAAATTTATGTTGATAGAATCCAAAGAATAAAGCAAAGATTCTACTATTTATTATCTTACTATGCCATATCAAATCCTTCTTGAGTCTTCCACAAGTCTAATCTTGTTATCAGGTTCTATAAAATTCTACATAGATGAACACGTGTTCTATAGTTGCCCAAATTTGAATATGATATTTTTGATCTTTTTCATTGGCATTGAGAATACCACTTATATGACAAGCTTATAAACTTGCCACAATCCTTTTAATTTGGAAGTGCTAAAGATCACTAGTAATGTAAGTATTACAAATTTTGTCTAGTTTCGTTACTTTTATCGTATACTAATTTTATAACATGCTTCACACGTGTTGCTGTGTCGAAGACATTTGAAGACTTTATTTATTAAATAATGAGAAATTTATTTATATACTCAATTAAGAATTCTTAAATTTATTTTAAAAAATATATATAAAGATAACAATGGACAAAAAAAAGTAAGAACACTTTTAAAAAAATTTATTTTAGCCATTAAAAATAAAATAAGAGCACATGAGAAAAAAATTACTCTCATAATAGTAAAGTTAAAAATAATGTATTTTTAGAAAACACAAAAAAAATTAAAATGTAAAAAAAGTTCAAAAAAATAAAAAAAAAAAAGAAAAAAAGGTAAGTGGAAGGGCTTAGAAACTTTAGTTTTTTATTTTTATTTTTATTTTTTTTTTATGTATTGTTAGATTAGATAATAGCATGGATTTAGATGAGATTCATTACTTCTATCACATGTACAGGTTCATTTATATCAAAATGAAAAAAAATATTATGTGTTATATGTCTTGATACGTTCAAAACTAAACATTTGGTAAAGAGTTTGAGCCCCTTTCTATCCCACACATATAATGGACGTACGTACATCTCTGCATGCTTATGCTCATCCATCAGGCATCAACCATGTGACCAATTTTTTGTTGAACAACGTCAAATGAAACCAAACCCTCATCACTCATTTAAAATAAAAGGCCCAACAAAAAAAGACATCATTAATATGTCGCTTTGTGAGAAAACGACATATCCTTGCCCAGCTTTTAAATCAATATAAGAAAACGACACAAATTAATATGTCGCTGGCCTAAGAACAATTTTTTATTTTGGGCTTTTAACACATTTAGCTTTGAACTTGTCCTGATATAATAAATTGCCTTTCAAAGTTTGACACAACTCACTAAACTTATTTAACTATTGCAACTAACTCCATTTCAATAAAAAAAATGGACAGAAATTAATATGTGTCGGTCACATGTAGAGTTTTTAAAAAGGTTAGTTGCATCAATTTAATAAATTCAGGAGATCGATTGTCAAAATTAATATTTTAGGAAGTAATTTGTTAAATCATCATAAATTCAGCAAGTAAACGTGATAAAAACTCCATTAGAGGATAAGTTACTAAGACTTAGTTTGGTAGTGTTCTAGATTTTAGAAAAATTACTTTTAGCTGTGTTGAAGGAAGAAGCAGCTGTTATAAAAAGTAGCTGAGTATTTGGTAAACTATAATTATAGTAGCTGTGCTAGTTCCAAAATCAGTGTAATAGCGTTTAGTAAATTATGAGGTTGAATTATTATAGATAGTTAAAAATTACGGCTATATTATATTATACTATAATATAATATATATGATTACAATATAATATATATTTATTATTATATTTAATATCA